GGTGCATTCAGGTCCCAGAGCAGATGGGAAGAGGAGCTCTGAGGATCAGAGATGACACACTGGATACTGCTTCTGAATTTTCAGAATTCCAACCATTTATTTTGCCTGATTTTTCTTATCATTGGGTGTTAAATAATTTAAAAACAGTGAATGACAGCCTATTTATCAATCTTCATCTCGCAGTATTCACTTAGACTCCAATTTTGGAACAGGATGCCCAGAGAAGCTGTGGCTGCCCCATCCCTGGAGGTGTTCAAGGCCAGGCTGGATGGGGCTTTGAGCAACCTGGTCTGGGGGGAGGTGTCCCTGCCCATGGCAGGGGGGTTGGAACCTGATGATTTTTAGGGTCCCTACCAATCTGAACGATTCTATGATTCTATGAATTTTTACCAAGATACCTTTAGAGACATGAAGTTGACTGAAAGCATTATTTCAATATTTGAAATACCTTGTACCAGGAAGCAACATTTCAGGCAAGTACCATTCACACGCCTTAAAGAACTCGGTGTAAAACTGCTGCGGTTCCCAGAATCGCTGTTCTCTCGTGGGTCCCCCTGTAGAGTCACTCCCCACAGCACTCAAAACTGCAAGTGTGCAACATGTTCTCATGCAAAAAGGGTTACGTTAGACAGATGGGTCATGCTAACTCAGATTTAACCTTAAAGGGTGAAAATCAGCTCTCGGTGGAAGGCCCACACACGAGTCAAAGCTGCTGTAAGTCCTATTTTGAGAGGCTGTGTGTAGGAAATGGCCTCTACGGGGTTTGTGTGGTTCTCCCGTGTGAGAGGTGGACGGTGTTCGCCGTGATCGCTTCCTCACACCATCGTGAAGCACAGACAAAATGTCACATTTGACTCATAGACGGGTGAGCTTTGCTGATCACCGCAGATAAATGTTACCATCTCTGAACATTTTTTCAAAGCAAAATATTCAAATATTTTCCAGCCCAGAGGCAACCAGCCAGTGTGCTGGGGTACAGCCTCCCATCTTCACCGGGGTGTGGATGGGGGCTTCTTTTGGCAGCTTGGCACTCTGCTCTTGCTAAAACGTCACCATCACAACAGTTAAATTATGATTTTAAATATAAATATTTTTTTTTCCCCTTCTCAGACCAGACACAATATTCTAGATGATCTGTGTTTTGCATCTCCTGTCACCCCTGGCAAGTTCAATACAGCAGGATGAAACTTTTTAGTGGAAAGCAAGAAGAAAATGAGATGATGGATCTGAAGTCAGGAGCTATGCCTTGAGGGTTCCTGCTCTAGAAACTACAGACACAGGATGGGAACTGGTCCAGGAGCACACAGAAGCTGTGTGTACGCTAGTAATGCCTTGACCCTAAAATTTCATTTCCTGGAGATAACAGGGCATGTACCAAACTCTCTCCTTTGTGGCTTCATGACCCACAGGAGGGGACCCAGGGCAGGGAGATTGACATTGGCCAGACCCTCAGGTTGGGTGAGTGGCAGGAAGATCCACCCTTCGCTCTGCTGCAAACTTGCCACAGAAACCACAAATTGAGGGAAGCAAGCAGTCTTAGTTCAGATGGAAAGGAGTAACTCAGGAATTACTACTTCTGAAGAGCAAATGGTGGGTGATTAATTCATTTATCATGGAATCATAGAATGGTTTGGGTTGGAAGGGACCTTAAAGACCATCAAATTCCAACCCCCCTGCCATGGGCAGGGACACCTCCCACCAGACCAGGTTGCTCAAAGCCCCATCCAGCCTGGCCTTGAACCCCTCCAGGGATGGGGCAGCCACAGCTTCTCTGGGAAACCTGTTCCAGTGTCTCACCACCCTCACAGGAAAGAATTTCTTTCTGGTATGTAATCTAAATCTCCCCTCTTTCAGTTTAAAAGCATTACCCCTCATTGCTCCACTCCCTGATAAAGAGTCCCTCCCCAGCTCTCCTGTAGGCTCCCTTCAGATACTGGAAGGCTGCTATAAGGTCTCCCTGGAGCCTTCTCTTCTCCAGGCTGAACAATCCGAGCTCTCTCAGCCTGTCCTCATAGGAGAGATGCTCCATCCCTCTCATCATCTTCGTGGCCCCCTGCTGGACCCGTTCCAACAGGTCCATGTCCTTTCTATGTTGAGGACTCCAGAGCTGGACACAGTACTCCAGGTGGGGTCTCATGAGACCAGAGTAGAGGGGTAGAATCACCTCCCTACTACCAAAACCTCAATATGCTGGTTCAAGTCCCTGGTCTGAAGCAGGCTAGCAGAAAATCTATGTACATAGAATTCCTATTAGTTTTTTATCTGCCCACAAGTCCTGGGTAAATTGCACCATCAGAGTGTCATGAACCTGAAGCTAAAGCAGATGGAAAGCAGCTGAAACTCAGAGACATCTCTAACTGTTAAAATGAGGGATGTGCAGAGAGAGATGGTCCTGCCAGACCTGCCTCTTACTTTGTGACCCACCAGCCAGGCTGAACGCCAGGCTTCTGCAGCCACACTCGACTGTACAAAGCCCTTTAGTTACAGAGGGTGACATCTCAGGCAATGAACACATGGAGCTTTTGGTCAAAGTCCCACGAGAGATCCAGTGAGCCATGGCAGAAGCAGGCTGCAGCCAGAACATTGACCTAGACCTCTTCTCTACGGCGATTTCTGTTCAAAGAAAATAGAACAGCTTTATAGACCACCCTCCCCTTGCCCACTGGGCTTGTAAGGCGGACCCTTCCTGCTTGTTTTGAGTTCAGCTGGCAGCTTTCAGAGTTCCAACAAACTCTGCCCAGCTCTCCTGGGCCACTTCAGAAACTCTTCTTTTGCCAGCGGTGGGGCCAGCAGCCTGCCCGCTCACCAGCTTGCTCAGTTGTTTGAAGGACAGCCTGGTCTTTTATTTATATTTAACACAAGAAGGAGAAGTTTACTACCTGTGCTAAGCAAAAAGAAAAAAAACCCACATCCTTAACTCTGGAAGGGCCCCAGGTTCTTTAGAAGGATGTAAGAGCCCTTTGCATGGCAATGAGACAGGTAATTCGGCAGCCAGGGCTCTGTGCCAGCAATTAAATGCTGATGAAAGTGATGGGATATAAAAAACCCCACCACTGACAACAAAAATAAAACAAGCCAGAGCAATTACTGTCACTGCTGTTTGTTTTAGTCGGTTCTTCCTGCGGAAAATAAATCTTTAACTCTTCCGATGCCACTAAAAATAAAAAGCTGGGTAATTGCCATTCCCGCCTACCCACGTATGGTACCACTCTGTCTGTCCTCTTGTGGCTGAGGTGCTGTGATGGATTTATTGCTCCTTGCTGAGCATTTAGGAACACTGCATAAAGGCATGGTTAATACAAAATCACAGAATCACATGGGGTTGGAAGGGACCTCTGGAGATCATCTAGTCCAACCCCTTGCCAGAGCAGGTCCACCCAGAGCAGGTTGCACAGGAACGTGTCCAGGTGGGTTCTGAATGTCTCCAGAGATGGAGACTCCACCACCTCTCTGGGCAGCTTGTTCCAGGGCTCTGCCACCCTCAGAGTAAAGAAGTTCCTCCTCATGGTGGAGTTCATTAGGTGGAACTTCTTATATTCAAGTTTGTGCCCGTTACCTCTTGTCCTGTCACTGGGCACCACTGAAAAAAGACCAGCCCCATCGTACCATGTTTAATGTATCATTCATTTGATTTAATAAATGATTTTCTAGACTGAAAAACAATAAAAGGTAACAAGCAGTATTTTGGAAGATGGAGCAGGGATCAGGCTAATATTGGCATGGTCCCTGTTCCCTACACATGCAACCTATAGGTGTCCCTATAGACGGGGTGGGACACCCAAGGGTGGATGCTGTGCATCCTTAATGTCACCCTCAAAGCTGTCTTTTTGTCTCACAGGGAGAACTAAAAAATATCTGGGTGTCAGAGGAGGTTTGTCCCCAGCCTGAAATACAGCAGCCGTGTCTCCTAAGTCACTTCTAAGCAGAAGGAAGGTTGGAAGAATCTGCTTCCCAAAGACTTGCCAAAGCTGGGCATGGCATGCTGCTGTGGTAGAAGCCATTTATGCCTCATGTCTTCTCTTTTTA